CAGCACTGGAGAGCAGGCAGGCAGGGACTGCTTTGCTTTTGGGGGCGCAGGAGCAGCATGGGCCCTGCTGCAGCCTGGTGCTGGGTGCACCCAACCAAAGGACCTTCCCTGGCTTCTGTGCAGGGTGCAGGGGTCCTCGCAGAGAGCATATTTCGGCCACACTCAGGGCAATGGGGGGGCTGTAGGGATGGGAACAAGCCTCCAGTCCAACAGCTCCCTGGCCAGAGGCAGTTGCTGAGATGCACAGTTAACCTTCCTGTTGCAATTAATACACACAGTCTAACGGGTGGCAACGAGCAGGGTATAGGGGTGTATACACGTGCACACACACATGCACACACGCGGGTGCATGTGTGCAATGGAGCCAGCTGCCGTCTCACTCCCAGGCAGGCTGCCCACAGCCCACCGTGCCCCCTCCTTGCTGCCGCGTCGCACCCTGACCCCTCGTCTGCCTCACCCTCTCCCTCCTCCCCAGGCAGGATGCAGGTCCAGGGCCTCCTCCTCCTCCTGGCGCTGATCCTGCTGGCCGCCACCGCTGAGGCTGGCAAGAATAAGAAAGGTGAGGGGCAGCCCGGGGCAGGGGTTTGGGGGCTGGCAGCAGCCCGGGGTGTCCTCCCATGCCCCCACAGCGAGCACCCGCTTTCCCTTCCCTTGCAGAGAAGGCGAAGAAGGATGGATCCGAGTGCGAGGACTGGCGCTGGGGACCCTGCGTCCCCAATAGCAAGGACTGTGGCCTGGGCTACCGTGAGGGGACTTGCAAAGATGAGAGTAAGAAGCTCAAGTGCAAGATCCCCTGCAACTGGAAGAAGAAGTTTGGAGGTGGGTGCATGGCGGCGGGGTGGCTGGGGACTACCCTGTGCTGGGCGACCGGGGCTGGTGCCCATGCCGTGTCCTGGCCGGCTCTCACACCTCTCCCCTCTCTTCCAGCTGACTGCAAGTACAAATTTGAGAGCTGGGGGGGGTGTAGCGCTCAGACAGGCGTGAAGACTCGCTCCGGCATCCTGAAGAAAGCCCTGTACAATGCCCAGTGCGAGGAGATCGTCTATGTGACCAAGCCCTGCTCTTCCAAGATCAAGTCAAAGTCCAAAGGTCAGTCCCCACCGCTCCTGTCCCCAGAAGGGTCCTGCTGGGACCCCGGGCAGGGGCTCTCCAGGGGTAGCTTGGCCCGTTGGGGTTGGCCTTTGCTGGTGGTGTGGGGGATCCCATAGGATGCTCTTCCCTCTGCATCAGCACATGTGACAGTCCCAAAGTCCAGCTGCTGGCTGGGTGGGATGCACTAGGGTGCCGCTAGCAAAAACCCTGGTCTGCCCACCCAAGCCCACCATTGGCTTTGGTGGGACAGGGATTTCCCCCTCTCCTCAGTGGGGCTGGTGCAAAACGTGGCTTTGCATGGTGGGGGGAGGTTGCCTGCAGGGATGTGGCCCTTGCACTGTGCCAAGCCGGCCATGCTGACTACATTTCTGCCACGGCAGCGCCTGGGGGATCAGCGAGCTGCCAGCAGACACACTAACTCTTGTCTCCTGTGCTTCTTGGATGCAGCAAAGAAGGGCAAGGGGAAGGACTAGAGCAGGAAGCCAGCATCCTCATCGGCCCCTCGACACAGTGCCCACGGGGCTGGACGCCCAGCTGCAGCCAGCCCACGCTCCAGTCTTCCTCCTCCTCTCCTTCCTCCTTTCCATGACCTCTTTCACTGAGATGCCTTGTTTTAATCACTAGTATTGTAGAGAGCAAACCCACCTGCCCCACAGGAGGGGCTGCCCCCCTCCCTGCTGCCCTGCCGCTGCTGCCGGTGCGTCCTGCTTGCCTCCTCTCGGCTGGTGTTGGGGTTCGCTGGGATGCGCATGGAGAGCTGGGATGGGAACACACATTTTTCCACCCTCCGGCACAAATGACTTGCCTTTAGCACATCCTTTGGCAAGCCCGGGAGCCTTCTCACTCCTCCGCCAGGTACCAGTGCCGGAGGGAGGGGCTGGGTGTTGAATGCCCAAGTAACTCCATCGCTCATGCCCCTTACTCATGTGACGACTGCTCTCAGCTCAAGGGGCTTCTTCCAGCATCCCTTCAGCTGGGGCACAACTTCCCTGCAGCAGCCGGGGAAAACAAAGCCACCACCCCCAGGAACCACCTTGTTCCTTCTCCTCCATCACTTCTAACCATGTGTGTCCATGCCGGGGCTGCAGCCCCTCTGCCTTCGATGCGCCAACACCGGTGCTGGGTGAGACCTCTCACTTCTTTTGGAAAATGGGGTTTGTTTTCTTTTCCAATAAAAATCTTTTTAAAAAAAATATTGGAACCCACCTGTCGTCCCCACGAGGTGCTGCTGTGCTGGAAACCCCAGCAAACCCCAGCTTTGCTGACCCCACTGGGACCAGCAGTGAACTCACCCGCGTGGCTGGCAGCAGTGGCCTGGGTGCCACCGCACACGGCCCTGGAGAAGGTGCATGGGTCAGACCTCATGGCCTCTTCTTGGCAGCGCTTTGGGCTGCCCCCCCTCGCTCTCAGAAGGAGGGATGGGGCTGCCACCCATGCGCTGCAGAAAATGTCACTGGTGGGTGACACTGGGAAGCTGGTGAGGAGCAACCGGGTGACAACTCATTCACTCCTCACGCCATGGCCATTGGTTTCTGGTCCGAGGTCTTTATTTGTCTCGGGGTGGGTTGGGCCACAGTGGTGGTTGTAACAGTTTAAAAAAACCCAAAGGCCCACCAGGCAGTTTGGGCACTGCTATGTGAATTATCCTAAAGGCAGTGGCAGGGGGTGAGGTCCCCACCTGGGCCGGGGCAGCCTTTCTCCAGGTTGCACGGCATCGCCCCGGCGTGGGGATAGGAAGGACATACAGACGTGGAGTTTGCCCACGCCAGCGTGGCCCCGTCCCGTCTCTCGGCTGTGCCTGGCTGTGCCTGCCAAGGCTTGCAGAGACCCAGCTTTGGGAGAAGCTGAGCAGCCCTGGGGTGGTCTGGGCTGTGCACACAGGTGGGCTTGGAGGGGGCTGGAGACGCTGGCTGAAGCCTGCATGCTGAGGGCTCCGCCACAACACTGACAACAGGGTTACATCCATTTACAAAGCTCAGCAGCCGGCTCCTTTGGCCTCCCTGGGGCGTCCTCCTGCACCCGGGGCAGGAGTGGGGTTGGGGGGGCACCGTCATCCTCTCCCACCCCCAGAGCTGTGCATCCCCCACCATGGGGAGAGCGGGGACCTGCTCATGGCCCAGATGAGACACAGGGCACCTCAGCCATGTTGCAGACCCTCTTCCTGACCCCCTCTGAGACCCCCAGCTCCCCCTGTCCCTCCCAAGGACAGTTATTTTCACTGTCACTGCTGCCCACTTCTCAGGGGCCACATTCCCCCAGGGCCGTGGAGAGAAGTCCTGCACCATACCACTGCTTGTCTTTGCAGTTTTAGTTTCCATTGTTGTAGGAGGCGACTGGGTTTCACGCTCCTCACCCAGGAGTGAGATGCTTGGTTTGTCTGTCTGTCCAGCCAATTGCTGGCTAAGGGTGGAAAGGGCATGAAGGGGAGAGTGGAGCTGAAGCCCAGGGAAAAATTCCCCCCCAGGTCCCTTGGTGAGGATGTATGATGGTGTCTCTTAAGGGAAAGGAAGGAGCTTGCCACATCTGCTAGGGCGCAATGACTGCCTTGGGAGGCCCCCTGGCTGGGCCAGCAGAATGTCCCATGAGCACGCCTGAACCAGCCTGGTCCAAAATGGCTGGCAAATGTTTGGCCCCAGTTTCTTTTCATTTCTTGGGTAATAAACGGTTTAAAAGTCTATTGAAAGCATCCAGCATTAGGCTGTCTGCATGCAGACAAGCTCTGATGCCCTGGAGATGGTCAGCAAGGGGGAGAAGAGGCATCCAGTCTTAGGACAAACACTGATGCCATTTGGCCAGCCTCTTAAGAGCAGGGAGCTGGAGGGGGCTCCTGGTGACCACATCTCCTCCTCTTGCCTCTGGCTTTCCCGCTGGCTCCCCAAGCTAGTCTCCAGGCCCAGGATGACTGGAAGGAGCTGCAGCTCAGAGGTGTCTTGGACCTTTGTCAGCATTGGATGAAGGCCATCATCTGCAATCACTGCACAGTCTGCGCTATTGTGAGTGGGGAGCAGAGGGCCCCCCGGTGAAGGAGACAAAGGGAAGGGCTTCCTTAACATTGCTGAAGTGGTCCCTGAGTGCCAGTTTATCTGGCTGTGCCAATGTTCCTGTATTGGCACATGAGAAGGTGCTTGAAGGTTTTCTTGAAAGTGGCATTGCAGAGGGCATAGCAGGCTGGGTTGATGGTGCTGTTGACATAGCAGAGCCAGTAGCCAATGGACCACACCGTTTCGGGTACGCAGGTCTCACAGAAGGTGTTAATGAGGACCATCACGTTGTATGGAGTCCATGTGAGTATGAAGGCTAGCAGGATAGCAAATATGGTCCGGGTGACTTTCTTCTCCCGGGCTGCCATCTGGCGCTTCTTCCGTACTTGGCTCCTAGCGATGCTGGCAAACTTCCTGGCGACATTGGCCGGGCGGCTGTTGGCCAGGGAATTGTGGTTAGAGGCTCCTGCCTTAGCTGGGACAATCTCAATGGCGGTGACGCATTCGGTCCCAGTCTGCTTGGTGACAATTTTAATCTTGGACCACTTGGAAGACGGGTTCACCCGGGGGTGGGATGGGCTCTGTCCTTGCCCCACTGGCAAGATTTCTGCTGTGGGCTTGTCTTTTGTGGTCTGGGTCATGCTGACCGTGCTGGACTCGTTGGAAGTCTCCTTCTCCTCCTGATGGCCAGTGGCCTCTGTCTGTGCTGAGGGCTGGTCATCCACTTTCCCATTCCTCACCTCCTCCTTCACCTCCACGCCCCCCTTGGGGGAGTTGTTGTTGTTCTGTTTGATCAGGGGGGCCTTGAAGAAGCTGAGGGACTTGCCTTTCCTCTCTTTCCTGCTTTCAGGCTTGTGCCTCCTCACCCTGCTCCTGCTGGCCAGGGAGATGTGGATGTACAGCACCGTCATGATGACCACAGGCAGGTAGAAAGCAGCGATGGCCGTGCCGAAGGTCACCGCCGGGTTGGAGAGGAACTGGATGTAGCATTCCCTCTCAGGGACTGTCCTCTTGCCCACAATGAACTGCCAGAACAAGATGGCAGGGGCCCAGAGAATGAAGGACAATATCCATGCAGCCGCGATCATTAGCCCCGCCATCTTGGTGGTCCTCCTGGCTGGGTACGTCAGGGGCTTAGTGACACAGAAGTACCGGTCAAAGCTGATGATGAGTAAGTTCATGACAGAGGCATTGCTCACCACATAGTCCAGGGCCAGCCACAGGTCGCACACCACGGCCCCCAGCGGCCAGTAGCCTTTGATGATGTAGACCGTGTAGAGGTTCATGGAGAAGACCCCAATGATGAGGTCTGCGCAGGCCAGGCTGAAGAGGAAGTAGTTGTTGACAGTCTGGAGCTGGCGGTTCACCTTGATGGACAGCATCACCAGGATGTTCCCCACCACGGTGACTAGGCTGAGCGAGCCGGTGACTGTGGCAATGAAAACCAACTCCACTGTCTTGTAGTTGGTGGGAGGCTGGATGGCTACCTCGGAGTGGTTGCCCAGGGTGAAGTTGTCATAGGTCAGGTTGGCCATCTTTGCCTGCCAGGGCTGAGCAGAGAGGTTGTGCATGGGGTCTGCAAGGGGAGCGGGGACAGAAAGGCAGAATATCATACCTGCTTGCCCATGCTGGCAGCGTTTGCTTCCTCCTCAGTTTCCCAGGCCAGCACTGCTCTGGCTAGTGCTTGAAAATCTCCCAGCGTTACTGGGTTTCTCTCTGCCATTGCAGCCTTCTCCCAGGAGCTCTTTGAAGGCACTTTTTATGTCCCCATTTAGCAATGGAGGAGATACACAGGGCTGCAGGGAGAGGAGCAGGGACAGGGCTGGGGACAGCCTTTTGGCCAGGGTGCGATGGTCCCTTCTCTGCAGGGCCTGGAACCACCTCCTAGCAGGAGCACAGCCCCAGTGTGCCCCGGGGAGGCACGCAGAGAGGCCGAGGGCCTGCAGGAGGAAGGGGTTGTGGAGCCGAGTGGTGATGCACAGCGCTCACTGCGCGGACAGCATGGCACGGAGCCGGTGCCCTGCCCCAGGTATGAGAGCAGGTTTATGGTATGCCCCAGGCATGTCCCGCTGGCTACCCCACAAAGCCCCCCCCCCCCAAGAGGGGGCGAAGCCCATGCCATGGTCTGCTCAGCTCACCTGCGTCTCTGGCAGCAAACAGCTCCTTCTGGAAGATGAAATCTGGGACAGGGAAAACAGCAAGTTACACTACAGCTTCAGCCCCAAGGAGTTTGTGTGAGTCCCACAACGTCTTACTGGGGGACACCAACCTTTCCAACAGAGGTGGCCTTGACAAAGGGGTAACACTGCTCAGAGGCAGATGCTGAAAACCCAAACAAGGCTGAAACGGGGTAATTTGGTTTGGCCTGGTTCACAGCCCAGCCCCAACAGGCGCAGGAGAGGGAAGGGGCCACACAAGTGCCATTAGCCAGCGATGCTGGGAAATGCTGGCCCCTTCCCCAGTCCCACATCACACTGCAGCTGCAACCACAGCGGCCGTGGAGATGTATGGGGTGAACCCAGACATCTCAGCCTGCTACATGGAATTATTTATGAAAGGTGGAAAGAATTATGGACAGAAAGACTGCCTTCATCCAAACCAAGATGCCTGTGGTTAACCCCCCAAGGTAAGAGGAGAATGGACCTTAAAAAAAAAAAAATCAATGGACCAAAATTGATGTGTTGGGATGAAGGGGAGTTTCCTGGAAGGGGAAGGAGAAGCAAAGGCATGGGGGGGAGGTGGGCTGGATAGAGGAGCTTCGCATCCAACCTGCCTCTCCCGCACCACCCAGACCCCCAAAACCTGCTGGGCCATCACCCTGGGTGCTGGAGGCATCCCGACCCCACCAGCCCAGCAAGGGCAGCCTCTCCAGCAGCTCCACCCAGTGCCTGGGGCAGGGGTCCTGCCAGGCTGCCCACCCAGCCCCATGGGCGCTGCTGCCGGTAGCCCAGCGGGGGCTAGCACAGCGGGCAGGCGTCCATGCCGGCATGCGCAGCGGGAGTTGTTAGCACAGCACGTCTCTGCAAGCTGCCTTGGGTAATGGTGCTGGCTCCAAACCCCTGGGACTCCTGAAGCTGATTTTGCTAGATGTATAAACACACCATTAACGCGCTCCTCTCCAAAACAGGGTTTGGCAGGCTTTGGTATCGGTTTGTATTTTTAAAGTCTTTTAAAAGAAATGCGCTTGCCTTTCGTTTGTGGGGAGGGTAGGAGATTTCTACCATCAGCAAACAGCCAAGGTTTTTGAAGAAATGCGGGTGTGAGAAAATGGAAGCATGGCTGCTGAGATGCTAAACCCAGGGTACCAACGTAGCCATTAAGGCAGCTTCTGCATTAGCAAGGCTACGCTATCACTGTAGCTGCGATAGTGGCTGGGATTGTCTTACACGTGCAGGGGAAAGAAGTGGGTGAGAGCCAAAGAAATACCTCTGTACTATTAATCCTCTGAGCCTGTTACACGTGGCCCACGAAGACAAAGTGCTTTGAAAAGAAAGCAACACCCTTTGGCAGATACTAAATGTTAAATACTGACAGGGCAAGGAAGCCTGGCGGCACTGCCCAGCTTTGCACCGAGCTCCAAGCGCAAGGGATGCATCAAGGGAGAAGAAAAGCAGTTTCTGCTGCCATCCTTCCTGGGCACCCAGCCAGGGATGCGAGAAGAGGTGATAAGTGTGTAAAATGACTTAGAGATATATAATTGTGCCAGTTTGGGGGTTGGTTTCAGTACAATTGAAATGAGTTTTAAATTCTTCGCTTTGATGAGATGGGGAGATTTAGCTGTCATTCTTGTAACAGCTAATCAAACCGATCAGACAAGCTAGCAATCAACCAGACATCTACCCCAGCTCTTCCAGGAAGAATTTGAAAATCTTTAAAAGAAACATTTCCTTCGTCGCCGCTAAATGAGGGTTTCAGTTTTTCACTTTAGTTTGTGAACCAGCACCCTCTTCTAAGTGCATTTAATTAATTATCAGTCTTGACAGAGGCTTGTGTTCTCGGTTGCCTGAAGTAAAAGTCCAGCTCGTCCCACTCCATAAAACCATTTGTACAGATCACAAGAAATGAAGGAGGAAAAGACTGGCGCAGCCCCACTTGCGTGTCTTTGGATGCCACCCAGAGGTCATGCTGGAAACTGGTGTGCTGAGACAGAGGCAACTGCAGCCTCAGGGTAAAGGACTTAACCGGGTGTTTTGAAAATGAGCCTTCACTGAAGGGCAAAAATAAAGCAATCTCCCGTTTGAGGGTAGGAGGGAGACTGAAAACGGTTAAGGGTGTGAAGATACATACAACACAGACATACAACAACATGTACAGCCAGAAGATACACACACCACACAAACACCCTGACTATTTTCTGCCGTACCCCGGCCTGTCACGCATCTTTTCTTTCCCCGTCTTCTGCTCTCTCCATCCCACTGTCTCTCTCTTCTGCCCCAGACACCCACTCTGAGCTCGCCGGGTCGCTGGCTGCTTTGCCAGCCCCCTTCGGGATAAACTTGCCTTGCTCTGTCCTGGGGGACTCCCCTTTAGCAGCAGCAGCTCCAGCCTGTTGAGTCTGGTTTCCCCCACTGCCCATGTGGATGGAGGGCACCCGGGTGGGGGCCCGGGTGGGGGCACAGCCCTCGGGCAGCCCCAGCTCTGCCTGCACCCCCAGGATGTGCCTGAGAATGGAGGGAGCACGCGGGAGAGCTGCGGTGCTGCAACGGACTCGCCAGTGCAATCCCATCTCCACTCTCACGCCAGCTGCATGGCTGTCCCTGATGCTGTGAAGCCCCCAGACACCAAGGGACCTCCCCATGCCCCACTAAATGCCTCCCCCATGCCCCTTGCTCTCGCTGCCCATCTCTCTTCTCCTGCACCTTCAAGAGCACATTTCTCCTCTTGATCCCCTCACGCCCCCCCATCCCACATTGCCCTCCCTGTCTCTCATCCCCCTCAGCCCCACGCCCCCATGCTGGCACCACAGCCAGGGAGGAGACACAGCCTTGGCAAAGCCCAGAGGCCACTTCAGAAGGGCTCCTGAGGCTGAGGCCCTCAGGAGTGTGACACCAGTTGGCTTTTCTCCCTGCACACGCCGTCCCTTGTCTGCGGCACTCAGCGAGTGCTCTCCCAGACCTGCTCTCGCCAGCCAGCTGCAGCAAACTCCATTACTGGCCTCCTCCCTCCCTAGGACTTCTGGCAGTGATTTATGGCTGGTTTTCTCCTCTCCATCGAAGCCATTAGGAGCCTCCTGCTCTTCACTGATAGCATCTTTTGGTCTAAGGGTTTCTGTGGCCCCTGCAGCACTCAGCAAGCATGTCCTCAAAGCAGGGAAATGCCTTTTCCTTCCCGCCCAACATTTTGCATGTTATGGATGAAGACACAAGGCACAGGCAGCTGCAGATCCAAGCAGAGAAGGCTGTAATTTGGGTGGGCTCCACCTGTTTTGGGCAGTGCTTGGCACAGCAGGGTCCCCATCGCTGCCTGAGATCATGGGTGCCACCACCCCTCACTGTTGGGTAAGGAGACGGCTCCAGAGCAAGAGCGCAAAGCCAGTCCTGCCCACCCCTCTTCGGTCACAGGGTGACATCCGAGGGCACAGCGGAAAGCTCCTGCTGTTTCCTTGCCGCACACCTCGTGTGCCACTCTGGCAAGGCTTCCCAGCCTGTCAGCCCCTGCAAAGTGCCTTGCAGCCCGTCACCAGGCAGGAAAGGAGAAAGCCCTGTCATGGACTGCTGATGGTCATCCCATACCCAAAAAGTCTGCACCAGATAGAGGCAGGTGCTCCATCGGGTGCAGTTAGTGACCAAGCACTGAACCCGTCTGGGACAGAGGGTCTTGCTCACTCCTGCCCTCCCTGTCACTCCCCATGTGGCAGGAGTCAGCTGCCCTGCCCACCGGTGCGGCAAAGGCAGCGGGAGAGGCTGGTATTTACACACACCTATGTGATGGTGGCACCTTGAGCTGCGGGATGAGCTCCTGGAGCAAGGAGCCCTGCTGCCTCAGTGTCCCCTGCCTCTGCTCCCTGTACTGCACAGCCTCCCTGTGCCCCTCCACAGCCCCTGTCCCTCACGCCACCGCCAGCTGCCTCCCCTCCCTGCTCCATCACTGCCTCCATCCCAGCCCCATCCTCACCCTTGGGGCCGGGGGATTGGGGGCAGGTGTGGGCAGAGTCACGGCTGGTCCATGTGCGTCTTGAAATGAGGTCTCTGGGAATGAGCAGGGCTGTGCACACACCCAGCGCGCTTGGCAAACACTGCCACCAGAAACCAAGCCCTGTGCTCACATGCCAGTCAGGAGAAGATGACCTTCTTAGGGGAAGGACTGGAATTAGAGAAACCATTACTTTCCCAGAGGCTTCTGAGTGTGAGCTGCTCCCAGAGGAGACGGGCTTTTGCTCTGCATGGTGCAATCAGCTCTTTGGAGGAACAGCAAAGCTGAAGAGACCCCAAGCCCAGCTTCTGGCTGGGTGTACCGTGCTGGACTCCGGGCGCTGCCTGACTCCAGAAGGGAGGGAAGCTGGCCCCCTTCACCACAGGGACATCCCAGGGGAAGGCACACATCACCCCCTGCTCCAGCTGGGTGCAGAGGG